CAGATTGATTGGCCTCGTGGGTTTCTTCTTCTAGGAACAGTTCATTTATTCCACATACTTTGAATTCTTTGTGTCTTCTTTTCACTGATATGTAAAGTTTCTTTTGTATTCTGATACTAATCCTTGATTTTCCATGTTGCAAATAAAATCTCCCTGTCTGTGATGAGGGTTTGAATTCTGGGTGCACCATCTTTGAGGTTGAACCCACTACTGTGTGATCTTAGGCAACATATTCAACATGGGTCTCCTCTGTGGCTAACCGACTGATATAACCCATGAGATTATTTGGGGCATTGGGTAAAATAAAGCATATCAACTACCCGTTGGTATCTGGGGCATGGTAGTTGATTAATGTGCAGGGATAAACTGCGTGTTATTAAGAATCACAGATTCTTAGAAAAAGAAGGAATCAAAGAAATCACTGGGTGTATTGATCGTTGAATGAATGGTATTGAGACAGCATTTACCATGTTCTCAGGCTGTTTTGAGAGTTTTACACATTTTAGCCTATTCTTGTGAGGATTACTAACAACAATGCTATGTGAGAGATCCTACTGTTATCCGAATTTTACAGATGAGACGTGAAAACTCAGAAATAAAGAGGCTGGGGAACCTACCCAAGACATCCTGGAATGGGCAAGCATGAACCATCCAGTTAAAAATAAGGAAGAAAAAGGAAAATAATATTGTCTAGACTATGTTAGCCTGTCTTACAGGAGATTATTTGAAAAGAGCTGATAACCACTCCCAGTTATTTTACAAGGCGGGACTCCAGCCAAGGCAGATTGTAAGGACATCTATCTCAAGTTTCCAAAATGTTGCTGCCTGAGACTCTCGCCAGGGTGAGAGGAACCACAGACCCAGACCAGAGGAGTCAGTGGCAGTCTTCCTCCCAGCCCCCACAGTGCCCCAGGCCATGTTCCCTGTCTTGTGTCAGTCAGTGTTTTCCAGAGAAACAGAACCAGTAGAGGAGATGCAGAGGGAGATATAGGAGAGGGGATTCACTATGGGTATTGGCTCACATTGTTACAGAGGCTGAGAAGTCACACAACCTACCCTCTGCAAGCTGGAGACTGGGAGAGCCATTGGTGGAACTCTCAGATCAAGGTTGAAGGCCTTAGAAACTGGGAGGGCAACTGGTGCAAGTCCCAGACCTGAAAGCTGGAGAACCTGAGCCCTGTTGTCCACAAACAAAAAAGGAAGGGTGTCCCAGCTTCAGAAGAGAGAGTTGATTTTTCCTTTTGTCCAGCCCTCAACCAATTAGATGGTGCCTGCCATACTGAGTGAGGGAAGATCTTCCTCACTCAGTCTGCTAATTCAAATGCCTATCTCTTCCAGAAACACCCTCACAGACACATCCAGAAATAATGCTTCACCAGCCATCTGGGTATGCCTTAAGCCAGTCAAGTTGACACCTAAAATTTGCACATCTCCTAAAAGTTAGCAAGAAATGCTATTGGAGATTACAAGGAGAGACCACATACCCTACATCAAACATCTGTGGACCTTCCTCTGAAAGAGGGTCCATAGCTTCCATCAGGTTCTCAAAGGGGCTCATTGCCCCAAACAAGGTTAATTTACCAAACAACATACCAGTTTAAATCTTAGACTCCCATCAAAACACTGGCAGATGCAACTTTCCTTCTTCCCTTGTGCAATGAAGAGAGCTCCCTGCACTGCAGGAGCTCCCCATGGGGGGTTACTTGTGTGGATGAAGGAGTCAGGAGCAGGGGGTCTCCAGGTCTTTCCATGTCTTCCCACATCCTGGAGATTTTTAACTGGAATGTGTGTTCTCTGCAAATAAGTGCTTCAAGGACTTGAAGGAGCCCTGTTGAATCACTAGGATCTGTGAGGGCCTTGAATCTGGGCCTGGCTGGGAACCTTCCCAGTGTCAGACACTGACGCTGCCCTGCCAGGTGTGTACTTTACCTAAACCACCTGGGCTCCGGAGAGCTTCGGGAAGAGCAGTACAGCCTCTCAGTCCACTTCCTCTCCACCAGAATTAAGGTTGGATGGCTTTATTCCAAACGTTTTCTTGAATAACAATGCTTTTAAGGCTGAATTCTGTAGAAAGAATTTTTTGCGTTAAACCAATTGAGGTTAGAATTCCATTCAAGGTTTGAATGCGCACTTTGAACAAATGCTGTTTTAATGCAACACTGATGCCCCATACAGTTACACTTAGACAAGGCAACATGACTTGTTTAATTTAATCCAATACTTAGCCTACAACACTCCAAAGTCTTGAGGGAGTTAGTTTTAGCAATCCTGTTTCTCAAAGCTAAAGCACAAGTAAATTAAAATTCTTCACTGTATAGTGGAAATTTTAACTGATCACATTTTTCTAGTGGTACTATTTTCAAAAGAAGTATGAATAAAATTGCATACACTTTACATGCTAACAAAATAATCTACCTAACACCATTCTAATGTATAGACAAACAAGCATGTGTGCCAGAGGGGGAACAAATGTGCGTTTCGACAGGAAGAACAGGAAAAAGTATTACGTCTCTTCTAAAAGTGAGATTTTCACTCTATTTTGAGCAAGGCTTAAGGGTTACACTACCACACATTTAAATTAACATTTTATTATGATAGACTAAATATGTTTATTGTATTAAAAATTTTTTAATTCAGGAAAGTATCACATACAAAAATCACACTCAATTCTACTTGACAGAGGTAACCAATAAATTAAGACTTGAAAACAGTAACATAATTAGTGACAGAGTTGGTTCAGTGGGTAGAAGAGAAACCTCTAAAGAAGAAATGCTTGACAAATGTTTGACAAAGGTACATGCAATGCTTAAAAGACAATAATAATAAATATTTATATGCACATTTTAAATTATATACATATATTTTAATTCTTTAAGATAAGTTTTATTCCCATTCCACACATGAAGAATTTCTTCTGAATTTCTGCTGACATCTTTATCAATTATCCTATGTATAATTACACTGCATATGAGTGATAAGAACAATGACAATAATAATGATTAATTATTAATGATTAATGAGGCCCTACAATTTGTCAAGTACTTTAACTCAAAAAACAGGCAAGAATTCCCATGGATACCAAACTTTTTATGACTAAGAGATATAATCATTAAATCAAGATAAATTCATGGAATATAATACTAAGATGCTAGAAAAGAAATCCAATGACTTCCCCATGGAGCACTCATTAGAATGGCAAATAATGTAAAATGAAGTCTACATCTGACTTCAGAACTGGTTTGCACAAAATCACTCGAGCAGGAGGACCAGCATTTAAAATCAGTGGGTGTTGCTGGGAGCAACAAGATAAATAATAGTAAAAAAAAAACAGTAACGGCTTATAACCCTGAGAATAACATAAATATCCATGGGTCCACATTGATGAAGATGAGAACTTGAATAAAAAAATAAATGGGGAAGAAAGAACAGTTCCTTCTTACAGATGAATTTTGATAAATAAAGGTAGAAGAAATGAGGGAGAAAAAAAATCACCAATGATAATTGTTGTGTGCAAGACCCATGGATGGATGCCAAAATTGGTGGGAACGTCTGAGGAGAAACAAGACATTTGCACTGTCTCAAAATGGCTCTGTCTTTAACAATTACACTGCACAGTGGGAAACCCAACAGACACTTGACAGAGTGACCTAGGTAAACGTCACCTAGAAGACGACACAGTGAGCGATGATCCCTGACAGGGACGCTCTGCTGGAAGGAGGCTGGCGGTGTTTATGCCGCCTCCCGCTGAAGATGCACATCCTCTATTGCATCATGAGAAGACATCAGGCCAACTGAGACCAAAGGACATGCTATAGAAACAACTGACTGATATTCTTCAAAAGTATATTTGGGGCCAGGCGCAGTGGCTCACACATGTAATCCCAGCACCCTGGGAGGCCAAGGTCAGAGTATAGCTTCAGCTCAGGAGGTCAGCCTGAGCAAGAAAGAGCAAGACCCTGTCAATACTGAAAACAGAAAAATTAGCCGGGCATGGTGGTGCCTGCAGTTCCAGCTACCAGGAGGCTAAGGCAGGAGGATACCTTGAGCCCAGGAGTTTGAGGTCATGGTGAGCTATGATGATGCTGCACTCTAGCCCAAGCAACAGACCGAGACTCTGTCTCTAAAAAATAAAAACAAAAACAACAACAACAAAACAGTGTGTTTGGGCCATGAAAAACAAGGACAGATGAGGGACAGTCCCAGGTCTGAGGAGACTAAAGAGCCCTGACAACTGAATGCTCCAGGGTGGAATTCTGGAAGAGATAAAGGACATCAGTGGGGACACTGGCAAAGTTCAAATACGATCGGTAGTTTCTTTGGTTAGCACCACACGGATGCTAATTTCGTAGCTTTGATCATTTTGCTCTAGTTATGGAAGATGTGAACATTGGGTTAATGCTGGGGAGAGCAGGTGAGGATGTGCAGGTACTCTTGTCAATCTAATATGACGGCATGATGAAAAAGGTATAAAGGAGACAAGCAATGGCCACAAAGAGAACGGCGCCTTCCCATCTGAGCCCAAGTCCCACATCCCACGCAGCAGCTCTGCCACTGACTGCTTGCCCCAACGGAGACTGTGCAGCCCCCAGGAGAACCATGGTAGGGACTTTTTATGTGTTTATTTTGTTCTGTGTCAAATAGGAAGGTGCCAGTAAGAGAACTGGCTCTTGTTCACCATAAGTGGCATATGACAAGCAGAAACTTAAATGAAGGGATCTTCAAAGATATGCAGGCAAGTTGACTAAAATGTGTTTGTCCTTTAAAATGTATGACATCACAATGTTCTCGAGCTAACACTGAGGTTGGGGGGCGCAGCTGATAACACCACTCTTCCTGAGTTCTGAACCAATAAGGCAGTCAGAGAGAGATCAAAATGTCAGTTTTATTAATATTAATGTTAAAGCTGATTGGAGAAAAGGGTTTTTCCCTTACTTTCTAATGGGGTTTTCCTTAATATACTACCCCAGATCCATCTAATCAGCATATCTGAGCAACCACAATCCCTGAGAATGGCAGAAGAACACAATGACTATGTCTTGGGTGGGTGGTTACTTCCAAATTCTTGAATGTGCCAGATACCCTCAGCTTGTCCTCTCTAAACACTCAGCTAGAAAGATCCCGTCTTCTCTTACATAGGCTGAAGTTCAGGGGAAGAGAGCAGAAATTCCTCATTCATAAGGGAAGGGGTTCAGAATGTGCCACCCTAAAATATGCCACTTTGACATAGGATCAATTTGAGCTGGAGACAGCTGAGCAGCAGGAAAAAGGAAAGCAGGACGTAAATTGGCAAAGACATCCCCCTTCCCTCTGCCACTTCGGACAGCAGCTGGTCATCGGCACGACTCGGGGCTGGGAGCTGATGTGGTGGTGAATGGAGAGTTGCCATTTGATGGGGACAGAGATTCAGTTTTGTAAGATGCAGGAGCCCTGAAGATGGAAGGTGGCATTGGTAGCACAACAGTGTGAATGTACTAATGCCACTGGACTGCATGCTTCAAAAAGCTGAGATGGTAAATTTTATATGATGTATATTTTATCAAAATTTAAAATATTTTAACTTAAAATGAAAGGAAAAAACTACATGAGTTAAGAGCATGGCCAAAAATCCATTATGGCTTTACCATATCAGTACTATTTGGAAGCCAATTCAAATAGATAGCATCACTGTTTAAATTTATATTCACTCTGGTGGGAAGTAGACAATAGCCTCAGAAACTGTCTTTTGGTTATTTTATCTCCAAGGCCTATAGCCCAGAGATAACCAGAACACATTCCTGCCAACCTTCCTACTTACTTCAGGATTGAGAGGATGGTTTGGTTTCCTATGATGAAAAGGAAAGAAGTTAATTCAAGGATCTCAGCAGAACAACTTATAGACATGGGAAAAATCAGCAAAGGAACTCCGGAAATATGAAGAACCAAAAGGAAAACACGCCCACAAGGAGGAGCACCAGCCCCCCTAGAAACAGACACCAAAAAAAAATCAAGCAACCCAAATGACAGAAGAGGAATTTCAAATGTGGATCATAAGAAAATTCAATGACCTGCAAGAACAACTCAATAACCAACACAAAAAAAACACAAAAAGCCTCCAGGACCTGGAAGAAAAATTCACTAAAGAAATCGACAAAATGAGGCCGGGCGCGGTGGCTCACGCCTGTAATCCTAGCTCTCTGGGAGGCCAAGGCGGGCGGATTGCTCAAGGTCAGGAGTTCAAAACCAGCCTGAGGAAGAGCGAGACCCCGTCTCTACTATAAATAGAAAGAAATGAATTGACCAACTGATATATACGTATATGCCAACAAAAATTAGCCGGGCATGGTGGCGCATGCCTGTAGTCCCAGCTATTGGGAGGCTGAGGCAGAAGGATCACCGAGCCAGGAGTTTGAGGTTGCTGTGAGCTAGGCTGACACCACGGCACTCACTCTAGCCTGGACAACAAAGCAAGACTCTGTCTCAAAAAAAAAAAAAAAGAAAGAAAGAAATCGACAAAATGAACAAAAGTTTAATCGAACTCCTTCCTGGAAATGAAGAATCAATTAAGGGAACTACAAAATACAGTGGAAAGTCTCAAGAACAGGGTAGATCAAACAGAAGAAAGAATCTCAGAGATTGAAGATAACACCCTCCAACTAAATAAATCAGTCACAGAGATAGAGCAGAGAAACAAGAGAAAAGAGCAAAGCCTACAAGAGCTGTGGGATTATGTGAAGAAACCTAATGTGAGGGACATAGGGTTACCAGAAGGGGAAGAAGACAACACTCAAGGGTTGGACAAGCTACTTGAAGATATAATAGAGGAAAATTTCCCAGGCCTTGCTCAAAATCTTGATATACAAGTTCAAGAAGCTCAGAGGACCCCTGGGAGATTCAATGCAAACAGGAAGACGTCACGACATGCAGTCATCAGACTGACCAAAATATCGATAAAAGAGGTCCTTCTAAGAGCTGTAAGACGAAAAGAGCAAGTAACATACAAGGGAAGAGCCAATTCAAATAACATCAGACTCTCTACTGAGACTTTACAAGCAAGGAGAGACTGGGGCCCCATTCTCACTCTTTTGAAACAAAACAATGCCCACCCTAGAATCTTATTCCCTGCAAAACTAAGCTTCATATATAAGGAGAAATAAAGACATTCGCAGATAAGCAAAGTCTCAGAGAATTCACCAAGACAAGGCGCGAGCCCGT